CGAAGGACAACGCAACATGTGAGGACCACTTCTTTCTCTAAAATAAATGAAAAAAATAATTAGGAGCCATCTCTTTTAATAACTGAATATTACACTCCCCATCATTTTTTGTGATATTCTCTTATAAACATCCAATTTTAAGCGGTGTTAACAGGTTCGTCCCATCAAAAACATCGCCGTGGCATACTCCGCTTGCTGCTCGTAAAAACGCTTTATAGCGCCCACCCTACTTTCACTGGCACCTTTGCAAACTAACGTTCAAATCCACTGCCTTGGGTACCCGACAGGAGGCCCGTCGCGCGGCAAGAAGGCAGAGTCAGCGGACGAGTTCAGCGCGTACTGTAGTGATTTCGCGTCAAGTTAAATAGAATGTCCCATTGTACGTCCTACATCGCACATCACGCGCTGCGACTCGTCCGCTGACTCTGCCTTCTTGCCGCGCGACGGGCCTCCTGTCGGGTACCCGCACTGTTCCGTGAAATACATCGCCGTGACATACAACAACGATTTTCCGGGCATGGAATCACCTGAGTCTATGTAGATTGACTCCATCGCCCCAGCATGGTTGCAATGCTTGCAGTATAATCATCGATGCTTGCTAGCACTGTTCGTGGGTGCAGAGCTGCTATGGTGGATGGTTGCCATCGAAATGGGTTTTTCCGGAGTATTCGGAGGAACTTGGCTCTTTCTAACTAGGAGCCCTACCACCTGCACCTTCTTCCATTTGCAGTTTCATTAATTTTACCCTAACTTCATTTTGATTAGATGGTAGGGTCGCCAATGTGTGAACTTTGATTTTTTACTCTGGATGCAGTTGCGCTAGCACACGCGCCAAATCTGTAACCACTCCGTTATCAGTCGTAGGCTAGACCGTGTGATGCGTTCCTCAGCGCTCGACGGCTGTTATAAAATATTATATTTAAGGGCTAGCAAATGCTCTCTGCGAGGAAAGCTATGCGGCTAGGAGCAACCCTTCTGAGGCTTAACTTTCCATAATCTCATTGCTTATAATTTCAGCCAAAGGGCACAAATCACCATGTCTCTGTGCTCCATCACGTTTCTGTGTCGCTTACAATGGCAAAACTCCACCGATCGAAATCTGGACCTACTTAAAAGGAGGACCGCCGACGGAAGACCCGAATTTTCTGGAAGCCATGGGATTTCAGGTAATGCAAAGGACCACTTTCCTTTTTCCAATGACTTCTTGCCTAGATGCATCCTATTTTGTGACACGCCTGGTTTAAATTGCATGCAACTCCTCGAACCATGCTGTCTCCTCCAATGAAACATACACGCATAGCACGCTATCGCAAGATAAGGGGCATAGATGGGACGGTGCATTCAGAAACCGCGTAGAAGCATCGTATCTTTGTTGAAAACGAGACCTTGGATGGAGGAGCAGCAACTTTAGGGTGCGTGAGCAATTGCCATGCTCCACGAACTCCTGCTCCCTTCTAGGCTTAGCCCTAGGGGATATCTCAGTATCTTGGGATGAGGTCTACAGAACAATAGTAAGAAAAATTGTATCCATTAATTCTGTGGTGTGCGCCAAGCAACCATCACTTGGAACTGTGAGGGTTTTGAAACTGACTTGGCCAAAACACTGACTCATTGCCAAATAAATGGACCGACGCCCACGACAAGATCTTATCCTTTCAAGTAAATACGGTTCCAGTCGACCGTAAACGGCAAGCACGGCGATAGGAAGGCTTCTTCGATGTTGATGAGATCCGATCCTCTGGCCACGAAAATAAGTAAGGCATCCCTTGCCACAATATATTCTGTACCCGATTGTAGTTTCTTCCTACGATGTATTCATTAATTCATAATTGCGCACTGAAAGGATTGCGGACGTGCTAAAACCGATATTTCTCGCTAGAAAGGCTCCTAAAAAACTCTCTAGAGCCCTTTAAATTCTCTTTCTCTAAAAATTCTCTCGCTGGAGCTGTCCAGCGAGAGAATTTTTAGAGAAAGAGAATTTAAAGGGCTCTAGAGAGTTGTCAACGACCATAACTTCTGGAAGAGTGTGAGCAGTACCTTTGCGACAACTTCCATAAGCACACCTAGAATGCAGGAATTACTGCTGGCAAAGCCGAGGAATCCCCGGCTGAAGGTTATATTTGGCTCTCCGAGATGGTGGATCGTATCGATCAGAGCTAGTGATATTTATTCGACAGCAAAAAATATTTCGAGAGGGTGCAGAATTTTTAGGGACAAAAGGTTGAGAACTTCATGAAAATTTGCTGGAAAAATTGAAAATTTTGAGAATTTTGAGAATAGAATTTTTGCTTTTTTTATTGCAGCATGCATACACTTCCTTCCTTGTTTT